AGTCAAAGAGTGATAGAGTGATAGAGACAGAGTCAAAGAGTGATAGAGACAGAGTCAAAGAGTCAGATTGAAACTTTAACATCAGGAAACATTTGAACAAGAGTTTTATTAAGATTCACTGATGAAAATGTTTCAGTTGAAATGAAGCAGCTTTTTTCTGAAGCTTCAAACTTTAAAATAATGGTTTGTGTTTTGTGCTTTTCACATGGGACGGTTTGTTTTCAGTGGAAGACATCGTGAATCTACAACTTTCACTTCAACAACGAATCCGTTCATGTTCAGATCCTGAAACGTGAACGGATTTAAAGTCACAGTTTATTCAGGTTTATAAAAGATGAACTCATTCAGCTTTTTACCCTGAAACGCAAACATTGTCTGGTCATACATGAATCATGATTATTTGATATTTTTACGCTGGTTTATTTTCTTCAGTTTTTTTTGTTAGAGTTTAAATCACCGCGACATCGTAACGAACGCTTCCTGATGGCGCACAGACTGTCCAATCAGATCAGCTCATTTTCATGACATCATACTTACACCATGTAATCAAGTTCCAGAATGAATTAAATTCAAACAATTCTGCAAACGACAGCAGGGTTTCACTGACCTGTCCGGAGGCCCCTGAGCCAACCACACCTTCCGTCCTGATGTGTAGTGTTAGAGCGCCTCCACAAGAGGGAGCCAGAAAAGAATAAGAACTCACTCTTCCACAGGACAAATAAATGAATATGTCTATAACTAATGTTGAATAAGCAGTGGAGATGGAAGAACCTGGGGCCTCAAACAGCAGAACCTGTCATAGCTCCACCCATCCTCTAGGTGGCCCCTGTGCTCCACATAAACACATTTTCATAAAAAATCATTCCTGCGATTATTCTTTTGTCTGGAAGACGCCTTATTGCTGCGAGATGTTTACAACCTGTAATCATCATCTTCTTCTTTGTGTGTTTAAATAGAGACTGGTTACCATCTGTAACAGTTTGTTTTGATTTTGGATCCACAATCTTTGTGATGTCACAATGACATCACTAAAAGTCACGACTGCAGAGTTGTCATATCAGTCAGTGAGTCAGCTCCTGATTGGTCGTCATGCCTCATCAGCTGAGAGATCATCCTCAGCTTCTCCCTGTTTGAGTACTTCCTCTGTGATGTCATTTCCTCTGACTTCTGTGAGGTCTGATGGCGTAATGATGTCATCTCTGTCGACTCAAAGGACGCAATCTCGCCGTGTGTCAGTTTACTGTAACCAATGGTGACGCTGCCGGTCGGCAGGCTCTGCCTCCTGCAAGGGGGGTCTTTCATCGAGAGGGAGGAGGGGGAGAGGAGGTTAGACAGGGAGGAAAGAGACAGGTGGGAGGGGGTAAGGGAGGAGAAGGAGAGGAGGAGGGCCTGGGAGCCTCCTGGCACCCCCCTGTGGAGGCTGGAGGAACTGCAGGAAGCTGCTAACGGCGCCTCCTGGAGGGGTGAGGGGGTGGTGGAGTAGCTTAGTGGGGGTGGTGGACATTCATCCTCACCTGCCCCTGTCCTGGCCCGGGCTGAGTGCCTCCGGCGGGGGGTGGCGGGGGGTGGGCGGCGTAAAGGTAAGGTGAAGAAGCTTAGCCCCCCCCTCTGCAGGGTCGGGGGCAGCGGGCTGAAGCTGGTGGGGAGGGGCAATATGTGGGAGGAGGAGTCAGGGGGAGGAATATTCTGGTAGATACTGAACACAGAGTCTCCTCCCCCATCACTGACCCCGTCCCCTCCTCCGCTGCTGCCAAGCAACTGTTGCCTTGATAATGCCCCCCCTCCTCCTCCACCACCACCCTCCCTCCTGCTCATCAGGGACGCAGGATAAGAACTGGGTTTACTCTCCAGGCTCTTTGATTGGACGTAGTTAATGAGACCATTGAGGGGATTGGTGGAGGAACGGCGGGCGGAGGAGGAGGAGTGGGGTCGGCGGAGGCTGTGGAGGTCGATGACGGTCGAGTAAATGTCACGAAGGTTGATGACCTTTGTCTTCTTGTCCCGGTTCTCGTGAAGGACAGCGTTCGCACAGATGAAGAGAAAAATACCAATGCCCATGATGAGAGGACCGAAGACCTTCAGCCTATCAGAGTACAGATACCTGCAGACAGATTTAATACAGCCAATCAGAGGACAGATA